AGAATGCTTGACGATGTGTGCCGACTATAAGACACTGGCTGCCGTGTGTAAGAGGGATATGTGCTTGGATGTGTGGGTCCCACGATGGAGGGGAGGGCTGGAGGAGTGGCCACCAGCTTGCGCCAGGCCAGTGTGGGACTATGAGGGTGAGAGATGCGCTCGTGCGTTGTGCGTGATGGAGTACTGCGGGGATGAGTTGGGGCGGTGGGAATGCAAAGCTGTTCTCAGCTGTCCAGGCAAGTGAGAAGGCGTCGGCTGCTATGGCATCGGGGTGGGGGACCTTAGAGCAGAAACGCGGCAGGTGTGCATTTTGGGGGTTGGCGAATAGGTCAATGGAGTGGGGCCCCCAGCGACGCTCGAGGAGGCGAAACCATGGGAACTTCAACGAGTAGTCATCGTGGTCGACTAGCTTGGAGAGCTCGTCTGCGCGACCATTCAGATCGCGTGGGATCCATTCGATGATTAGCCGAATCTCGAACTCCATGCATTTTTGGATGATGTCTTTGCACGTGGTGGTGAGGTCGGGACTTCGGGAACCTCCTTTGCGAAGGATGAAGAACACGCCCTGGTTGTCCACCCGCACTAGCACGTGTTTCTTCCGGATTCTAGGCGCGTATGTCTGTAGCGCCCACAGCACGCCGGCGAGCTCTCTTTGTGTGCTGGAGGTTGGATGAAGGGCTCTGGGCATTGCCGCGCTGGCCTCTATCGCGGCTCCAGGGAATGTGTTCAGCGTGGCACCCCAGCTGTGGGCACTTGCGTCTACGTGGATGATTGCATCGTAGCTGTGCCGCACATGGAATGGGGCACCGTTGAAACGGTCGAACTCTTGGATCCAGAATCTCAGCTCTTCGATGGCGGGTGGGGAGAGGATGACCATGCTGGTCCATGTCGGCGCGTCGTTGATTGTTTCTAGCATGGCGTGGCTGAACGCTCGGGTGGTGGTGCCGAGTGCGACAGCCATCGATGCCAGCATGCCTGTAACTCGGGCCAGTTGCCGGACTGGGACTTTCCGCTGAGCTGAGCTTGCGCGCAGTAGGGCATGGAGGGTGGCGTTGAGTGTGGCTCGCCGCTCCTCGCCGATGGAGAACCGGCCGGCCTGTGTGTCAAGTTCTACGCCAAGGAACCGAAGGTGCTGTGTTGGTATCAGCTTTGACTTTTTTGAATTGAGTACGAGCCCGGCAGCCTTGAGATCGATAACGATCCGTTGGCACGTGGCTTGAGCGTGTGCCTGGGTCGGGCACAGGAAGAGGATATCGTCCACGTAGGGTATTACGCGAACCCCCTGCTCCCGCCATCGTCGAGCTAATTGCTTGATGAGCTGCGTTAAGACGAATGGTGCTGTGGCGAGGCCGAACGGCAAGGATCGGAAGGCGTATGTGCACCCGTTGAATTCAAAGCCGAGGAACGTCCGGCACGAGGGATGGATGTCGACATGGTGATAGCCTGATTTCAAGTCGATGGAGAACATCCAATCTCCTTGGCGGGCGAGGTCCGCTACGCGGTTGAGTCCCTCATATTTAAATTTGGGGACGATTATTGCGTCGTTCACCTTTCAGAGATCCAGAATCAGGCGACACTTGTCTTTTTGCTCGACCACGTTGAGTGGGCTTATGCATCTCAGTTTCGCCGCAGGAATTTGGATGGCCGCGCCGGTCTCGGTGAGTTCAAGGATGGCCATGCGCGTGAATGCTTCGTGGGTGCGTGCACCGGCATGGTTGCGATCGTGAAAGGCCGGCGGCGGCCCGAGTTTCCATGGCATCCAGTATCCTTTGGCAATGGCTGAGAGGATGAAACTGCTAGTGCACCACGAGCTCCACCAAGCGAACGTGGTACGTAGGCGACCACGCATTTTGGTGACCATCTTGTCAGTAACGGCGTATTCGTAGGGGTCACTGTTGTGAGCGCATTCGCGAAGTCTGGTGCCTGTGGGAGTGCCATCATGCAAGGCGAAGCAAGGGACGAATACTTGAGTTCATCTGCAGGGCTGATGCCTGCCGGAAACCTAGAGCGTGGGGGGGGGGGGGGGAGTGTGAAGCCTAGTGGCTGAGAAGGGCGTGCCGTGTTGAGGTGCCACATGCGAGCAAGATGCTTGGGTCGGTGGTTGCCTGCGCTTTGAGCGGGTCTGAGCGGCGTGACCTGCGTGTGTGTCGGTTTGCACGCCCGCGCATGCCGAGCTTGCGTTCGAACCTGAGCCCCGACATTTGCTTCCCTTTGTGCCCTCGTATTCCCACAACTTGTGCCTTCACTCGCGCTTCTACTCGCGAACACATGTTACCCTCTTATTGCCTCCGTCGCTTGCGTTCTCATTTCTTGGGTTTTGAGACTCAACGCCCGTGTTTTTCTTTCTTTCTTTCTTTCTTTTTCTTTCTTTTCTTTTATGTCTTTCTTCTAGCCACCTCTTGTGTGCTTGTGTGGCATGCGTGCGGTGTTTTGTTGCTGTTCCCGTTCGTGGGCCATACCGCGTGCGTGCGCGCATGCTTATGTGACTCGTTTTTTTTTTTTTTTTTTTTTTTTTTTTCCAATGCCAAGTTGGGCAGCCCTAGATGAGGCTGGTGTGGCTGTTCCTGTATGCCCACGGAGGGGTAATGCGTAGGGTCCAGGGTGTAGCACACCGGGTTGGAGGGTATGCGCCTTGTAAGGCTCGCATAATGCTTGAATTCTGTTTTTTCTTTCTTTCTTTCTTTCTTTCTTTCTTTCTTTGCATGTCCAATCGGGGAGCAACTCTGTGTGGGTAAGTGGCGGGCCATTGGTGTTCCTGATGGCCTTCCTTCTCTGGCCGGAGGTGCTGCGTGACATGCAGCGGGGGTTGAGCCACCCACTATGCTTCCCCGTTCCGTGCTCAATCCCCCCCCCCCTTTTTTTTTTTTTTTTTTGCTGCGCCTCTTATGGTGCTGCTCCCCCATTTCTCTGGTTATATTAGGGGACCAAGACCTGAAAAAAAATGAAGGACCGCGGCTCCTTATTTTAACCAAGCTTCATCTCTACTCAACTATGCTCCTAGGCATGCAAGGTACGCCTTGCAAGGTCGGGCTATCATGTGGGACCGAGGGGGTATGTTCCCCTTCCTTTGCTCTGAGCCTAGGGCCTTTGATTGGCCTACACTAGGGCTGGCCCTCTGCCACCCGTGCCCCTAAGGGGTGGGCCCAATGGCCTACGCACACACCGGGTGCCTTGCGCCTTGCGCCACTTGCGCAAGCGCCCATGGCCCGACCCCTACACCACTGGTGCGGGTCCTTGGCCACCATGCCCAATCGCCGGGCAGCCGCTGGCCACATGCCCCGGCTGGCCACAGCGGAAGCAAGTGCCTCGGAAGCCACAGAATTCTCCCGTAGGCGGCGGACCACGCTTTGGCACGAACGGCATGGGCATGCGGCCGCCTCCGCGATTTCCACGAGCAAAACCGCCCTCGGCGCGGTCCATTGCGGCCACGTCAGCGACGGCCTGCTTGAAAGGCCTTGAGGTAAGCAGACTCTTCTGCTGGTACAGCTTGAAACGCTTGGCCGTGCGGAAGTCGGAGGCGTCTTCGACTTGGAGAACTTCGAAGCGTCGCGATATGAGGGCGAGCGCGTCGGCGAGGAATTCGAGGCCGCCCGGCGCATCGCCGTGCTGCACCTTGAACTCGGCGTGCTTCAGGTATGCCCGAAGGTCCTCCAGGACTTCCGCTTGCTCGCGCACGGCCGCGTTGAGGAAAGACGCCGCCGAGAGGGTGGTGTTAGTGGCCGGGAGTGGTGGGAGGTGCTCCATGGGAATTGAATTTGCAGCAGTGTCGGGGACCTCACCAGCGTCATTATCGGAGTCGTCGCTGTCGTTGTCGGCCGCCGGGGCAGGCGGGATGCTGGCGACGGCGTCTTTGGCAAGGCGTGGCGTCTTGGTTCCGCGTGTGGCCTTTTCTGTTTTTGCAGGTTCTTTTTTAGCAGATTCAGAAGCAGCAGGTTGAGCAGTTTCGGCGGCCGTAACACTCGTCGCCTGCTGCTGTAACAGCGTCAACAGCGCGTTGACCTGCGCAGGGGTCAACGACGGGGTCAATGTCAGGGTGGGCGGCACGTCAGACGAGGCAGCCGCGCGCCCCCTTTTTCGCTGGCGAGAAGGACCCGCCACTTGCGGGGCTGGCGCGTGCTGCTCCTCGGCGTCAGGCGCGAGTGGCTGGCTCTGCCCAGCCACTTGCGCGTGTGGCTCAGAAGGGGGCGGGGGCGCGTCAGCAGGCTGACTGTTGACCTCGCCCCCTCCCAGCAGAACGTCAACCCCAGTTGGGGCGGCCGCCCCTTCTTGTGCCCGACGCTTGTTGCGCCGGTCACCCGCAATTTCCGGGGCTTGGCGAGTAGACTCGGAATTGGGGTGGCCGGTGACGACGTTGGACTCGCCGCGATTATTCGTAGTCGGAGCCATGACAGATCGGTGAAACTTAAAAATGTCGGAGAGAAGAGTCGAGGGAGACTCGCCGCGAGGCAAAGTTCTAGTCTTAGCCAGCTTGAACGGGAGAAAAGCTAGAGCGGGAATGTTGACTAAGCCGTTTGAAAAATGAGAGACGTGGGTGGAGGTAAATGAGCTCCAACCCACGTATATGTTGTTGGAGAAGGGCGAGTAGCGCGCTTCGACGATGCCCAATGCTTCAGTACAATCAGCTTCGCTTTCACAATACACAATTTTTGAAAAACACTACGTGTGTTAAAAAAATATAATAAATTGAGAGCTGAGGGTGAGTGTTCCAGGAGTTCTGAATTGCTTGATGGAAAGTGGAATTCTGGAGTTCGATTTCTGGCTCCATGGGACGCTGGGAATTTCTCTCTCGAACCGCGGATTGAGAAAGCGTGATTGGTTGCGAGAATTCCGTCAAGTCGCAAGCAGAGGGGGGGCTGGGGAGCGAAGGTGTTGGGCTAGGTTGACGGGGGAAGTGTCACTGGGGCGCAAATGGTGCCAAGCGAAGGAAACGCCGAAAGAAAACGACAAAATGCTCGATGACCCGATTGAAGCTTGCTCATTTTTCGTCAGCAAAACAGAACCATAACGTTCAGTACTGATCAACCAAGAAACGTGGAGGACTTTTTTATTACCACATATTGACAGCAAATGGCATCCCAACTATTCAAGCTTACCAACACTTCTGCATCACGCGCAACCCTTTTCCCTTGCGCCAGAGCATTGGAACACAACCTAGACTGCCTCAATTTTCTCATCCTCCATGCTCTTCTTGCTAAGCGGCAGGAGATAGACCACCGAGTACGGCACTGCCACCGCAATGGCTGCCAAAATCGGCGCCAGCCAGTAAATCCAGTGGTTTGTCCACACCCCTTGCCACACCGACGTTCCAAACGCTTGTGCAGGGTTAATGGTCCCCCCCGTTAGAGGCACACCCACGGCGGTGGTCGTAAGAATGGAAAGGCCAATCATGAGGGGTGCAATTGCGATAGGGCCCCTGGGATCCACGGCGGTGGCGAAAACGGTGTAGATGAGGAGGGTGGTGAACAGAAGCACTCCCAGGAAACCCGCACCCGTCGACGTGCCTGCAGGTAGCGACGCCGCGCCTAGAACTCTCTGTTGTGGCGAAGAAAAGAAAGCAACGGAGAATATAATTAATCCGAAAAAACAAATCTTGAGTCATGGAACTGCATGCGCGAGAGGAGATAGTATAGGAAAAGTTTGACGGAGGAGGGGGGGGGAGGGGGCGGAGAGAGGGGCTTTCACGCACGTTGAGGGCGGATGGCAAGACGGCCGTGGCAAGGCCGACGCCGACCAGCGCACCCACGAGCTGGCCGATGATGTAGACGGCCGCGGATACCACGTCGATGAGCCCCACCGCCAGCATGCCAACGGTGGTCGCCGGATTCAGGTGGCCCCCGGAAATGCCAATCGTCCCGGCCACAGCGAGCGCGTAACCCACGCCGTTACCCAACGCAATGATGACCACGGTCGTGAGAGGCTCGATCTTGGCTCCAGGAGCTGCGGTAGAGAAATTGTGCAACATATTTGATTAGTTACTACATGAAATGGCCGTGGGAATGGAACTGAGAAGTGCATTTGATGCGACCGAATTTTATGGACTTTTCGTTGTAAGGACCTTGGACTTTCTAGTTAGGACCTTCACCAAGTTTTTTGTTTTTCTCCCAGATAAGAACGACTGGAATGCGAACGAGATGGTAACGGCGAGCTGGCTTACTGGTCACGAGCGAGCGACTCACTGGTGACGGCGGAGCAGAGGACGCCCTGGAAGACGAAATACATGGTGCCGACGATCTCCGCGATCGCGCACTGCAGCAGCGCCATGGGCGGCTTGAACTGCATCCACTGCTTGAACACCTGCGGAGGCGCCATGACTCTTCCTTCGGCTGGACTCGGAAGTGAATCGAAACCGAATCTGACCCACGACTAACGTAGGGACGGCTAGGACGCTACCGTAGGTGAAGGCAGAGGCGAGCCGAGCTCACGTGCTTACGCTTGGAGAGAAGAGAGTTGATCTCAAACGTGCTAAGACCACGATTTCGAGCTTCTATTTATAGCCTAGCTGGTACTAGCCGAGCCAGCTCAGACGGAATAATCTCCCCCTCCTCCTCCTGACCCCCCTTCCCCCCACTTCCCCCCCACCTCCCCCTCCCAGCCCTGAAGATAAGCGGTAGATTCATGAGGGGGGGCGGAACCTCGAAGGCACCCAGACCGCATTATGGCTGCTAGGAGACTACCTTAGTAGCGTCTGAGGTTCCGCCGAGGCGTCTGACTGGAACGTGAGGTTCCGAGCGCTTGGCGACACTGCGAGACGCCGGACGCAGCCTCCTGGACAGACGGACGGACTACGTCTTGACATGGAGTCGTCGCAGTCACTCTCAGAACCTAAGAAGGATTGTGTACCGCTCAGTACACATCCCGTCAATCTCGGCTCGGCCCATGAAAGGAGTCGCATCCTCCTCTCAGTTGTACAATAATCAGGATTTCTCAACGTCAGCCTCCGCCGTGGCACTGCTTTCCAGGTTTCCAGGTCAGGTTGGGATGGTGAGGTAAGACCTGATGTTCCTAATCAATCCTGGGAGAGAGGCGACACGCTGGAGGCGAGGGGTTCCGCGTAGGACTAAGTACTTCTCCTCTATCCCTGCATCTGGTGCAGGGAGTACCAGCCGGGTTTTAGAGCCAGGGGTGCCACATCGCTCCCATTCGGGTGTACTTATCCGTGTTCCTCACCGCGATTCTCGATAAGGCAGTGTTACTGTGCACAGACAACCGCCATGGCGGTGAGAGAGACCTCGCAGGGATACGTTAAGGCAGTCAGCCATGTGGTGAGTCTAGTCAATGACGTGGTGTGTATTTACAGTACCGCTCTAGACACGTGGGATGACAGGCAAGAACAAATCTCGGGGCTGAAAAAGGGGAGGGCGTGATTGTGGGGTGGGGGGGTGGGGGATGGGGGGGGGGGGGGAGGGAAGGAGTGGTCGTGTGTTGTAGAGGGCTTCAGCGGGCTGGTACTGGCGCTTAGTCGGGTTGCCCTTTGGTCGATTTCTTTTCCGGTAAAGTCAAATGTACTTCGCAAAATGGCAATCACCCGAATCTGTGAGTGATTCTGCACCTCGGGTCTGACCCGAGGTTGACCCGCGGTCGAAGGAGCTGCGGGGTTTAGAGGCTCGACCTTGGGTCCAGTGACTTTGACGGTCGTGCGCCTACAAAGATGCAGAAAGTCGCAAAACGAGCTGTCCATGTACAGCAAACCGCAAAGAGTTGTCATAAAAGCGCATTGGGAGGTGTACATTGCCGGGCAATGCACTTGCTCCACTTGTATTCCGGTAGGTTTGTCTGCGAACGGTATGTTTCCAGTGAAGCAGCCGTCAGAAGTCGTAAGATCCGAGGCAATTTTTTCCAACCTCGGGTGTTCCCGTGTGACACGATTGTCAGACACGAGCTCTAAAATTTTCCCTACGATGCACCATCCCGCCATGCAGGAGGGGAATCCGGTGCGTTCGTGCGATGCGAGCGACGCTGACACAAAGACAGGGACCTAGACCAGGCCTCTTGATAACAGGGTAATTGCCCTCGATGGCGAGAAGTTTAAAGTAATGTTTCGAGTGATTCCGGTTTTTTATCCGTCCAGCTTGCGGAAACTATTTTGCGCGATTCCTTGGCCTCATGGATAACATTTTCCCGAATCACTACATGCAATTTGTAGGGGGGAAAGCGATCCCCCCAACACCCGCCCCAACCCCAACCCGGCCCGGACCACCCCCCCCCCCCCCCCCCCCCCCCCCCCTCCCTGCCGTCGTCGGAATGGCACCGTGGAGCTTCTTATTCGTTGGAAGGGCTATGATCCTTCTGAGGACAGCTGGGTCTCTGAGCCCGACATGGGTAACGCCCGTCGTCCTCTGCATGACTACCTTGTCAAGCAGGGTGTTACTTCTACCACCCAGCTTTGAGGGGGGGAAGTGTGAGAGTACGACCCCGTTACACCACTTTTCCTTTTCCATATTTCATCTTCATTTCATTCCTCTTTTTATCTCATCTCCTTTTGCCTCATATTCCCCATTTTCCATTATCCTTTGGTTTCTTCCCTTATTATAATTATACCACCGACCAAGCATGGAATGTTCTAGACACGCTATCTAGCGTAATCCTGTCGTAATCTCTTAAAACCAATAGCCTCGCGTGGCTATACGCAGGGTGATTCTATTTTCTAGAAGGGTCTATTCCTTTAGATAGGATAAACCTGGTTACTTGATGTACTCTGGAAGTATAAAAGCGCCTTGTACTGATCGATAGTGCAACCTTTCCTCGACACATTCGATCCTGTGACACTTGGTAATCAGAGCTTTTCTCACTCGACCGCGCTCAGCTAAGCGGGGATCCTGCCTCGAAAAACCGCCGGGGGCGACTAATTCGACGCCGATTCTGGTAAGCACCAGCTCCGCGATTTTCGAATTACCCCCTCCGTGCGTGTTTTGAACAGGATGGCAACATTCGACAACACCGAGGTTACCCAGCAGCTCTTCGCGCGCATCGCAGCCCTTCAGGAGGAAATGCGAGCGGATCGCAAAGCGTGGCGAAACCAGTTCGTGCGAGTAACTCGACTCACCGGAGCGCAGCACGACTCGACAACGGCGACGACGCAGCAGTCGCAGCAATTTCTCGAGGCTCCAAAACCGCGCCCACCTGAGCCGTTCGATCCGAGCGATCGAAACTCCGACGCCCGCAGATGGATCGCCGGGATGGAGATCTACTTCGCAGCCGTCGGATGGAGCTCGCCAGTCTAGGACGGTCAACGTGTACGACTCGCGGCGACACTGATGCGAGGGCCGGCACTCGAGTGGATTGGCGGCAACAGTACTTTCATCCACGGTGAAGCCACGTGGCAGCAGTTCCGCGCCGACCTGCTGAAACGCTTCGAACCGATAAATTCGAGTTTCCTTGCCCGGGAAAAAATTCATCGACACCGACAGTTCGGGAGTGTAGCACAGTACACGCAGCAGATGGAGGAATTTTATAACCGCATTCCCGACCTGACCGAAGGGGAAAAAGTACAATCGTACCTCGCCGGGCTGAAGACCGAAGTCAAACGACAAGTCGCAGCGTCAAACTACGCGAGCTACAGTGACGTCGTTTCGGCAGCGGAGCGCTTCGACATGGTCAACGCCGGAACACGACGGACGCATGTCGGCAGTACGCGACAGGGCGACCGCTCGGCTCACCCCACGTTCGCCGACCCGATGGAAGTCGACAGATTCGAGGGGCGGCCACGTCCGAAAAACACCAACTACACGTGTGATTTTTGCGGGGTGCCGGGCCACCGAATCTTCGACTGCAACAAAATGAAGACCGCACGCGCAGAGTATCGGGCACGCAACAGTGGCGGAAATCTTTCGGCCAATCAGAAGACAAAAAACGGGAGTCGCCAGTGATTGCGGATCTAGCTGGCGAAAATAAAAAGATCCGAAAGCGGCCGCGGGATTCCGGAAAAATCAACTTCGACGAAGCTGATTCGACGCGAGAAGGAGGAAATGATGGGGGAAAATCTCCACCCCACGACCAGTCTTCGCCAGGGAAAATCGCCGAGGAAAAATACGACTCCGCGAAAAAAGACTCTGCCGAGACAGGGAAACTCCTTGAAGACCCAAGAAATTATAAGAATTCGTTAAATTTATCTTATAAAGATGCTTTAATGAAAACTTATGATGTTCGAGGGGCTAGAGCCTTGGAGAAAATTCGGGAGGGACTCCAAAAGAAGCAGACAGCTGTGGAGATTATACCGGTACCGGACAACTTGGGGACCAAATTAAGGAGTGTGGAAAGAAGCCGACCTTTCCACGGAGTCAACGTCCTCTCCCGACACCAGCCCACAACGACTACCCGCTCCCCAGGGAAGACGTCGGTGGAGCTGAAGCAGCTCAAAAGGAAGCTGGGGGTCTACAAGAAGCTGCACAAACCCCGAACTCCTTCTACGGATGCATCCAGTTCTTCGGCATCAGTGACGCGCACAGTCGTCAAGGAAACTCCGGGCCCTGGAGAAGAGCCGTTCTCCAAGCAGCCGCGGCCAGCTGCTAGCTCAGGAGCAGATAGCAACGAAAAGGTGTGTACGGATTATTGGGATGTACCCTATGACCCCATCAATGAAACTATCTTTGGGTACTCCGAGCAACGCCCGCCTCTCGTGCTCGAGGTCATCTGCAAAGGACGACGCCTCCAAGCACTCGTGGACAGCGGAGCGTCTCACACCGTCTGCGACAAGGCAACAATCGACCGACTTCGGGAAGAGTACAAGCCTTCAGGATTCTCTGCAACGATGGTGGATGGCAGCAAGCTACCAGTACACGGCAAAGCAGTAATACACCTACAAATTGGACCACTGCGCTGGAGACCTGCACTCCCCATCACCAACATCAAAGGGCTTGACTTGATCTTCGGGCGAGACTTCCTGAGGAGATTCAACCCCGAAATCAACTGGGTGAACCGCACCGCAAGCATCTACAACAAAGGACGGAGAGTACAGCTACCCAACTTGGACGATACTGGAGATATCCCAGTGGAGACACTCGCACGATTCGAGAAGGACGTGAAGCGGACCGACACCGGGTTCCTGGCAATAGCAACAGAGGTGGAGAATGACAGAGAGAAAGCCTCGGAAACTCCAGAAAAAATCAAAGAATTACTGAAGGAGTTCCAAGACATTCTTCCTGACGATCTTCCGAACGAGCTACCGCCATACCGAACGCATCAACACGAGATTGTGGAGGAACCGGGTTCGAAACCGACCTTCCGAGCACCATATCGGCTCAGCCCTACGGAGCTGAGTGACATGAAAAAACAGATCGAGTATCTCCTAGCCAAAGGACTCATCCGGCCATCTACTTCACCATACAGTGCCCCAGTACTCTTCACACCGAAACCGGACGGAAGCTTGCGCATGTGCATCGACTACCGAGCTCTTAACAAGCAGACCATCAAGAATAAGTATCCGATACCACGAATCGATGACCTGCTTGACCAGCTTCGGGGAGCTACGGTATTTTCCAAACTGGATCTGCGGTCCGGATACTGGCAGATACGGATGGCGGACAACTCTATCCACAAAACTGCTTTCCGAACTCGGTACGGATCGTACGAGTATTTGGTCATGCCGTTCGGACTCACCAACGCGCCGGCAACATTCCAAGCCGAAATGAACCACATTCTACGACCACTTCTGGACGAATGCGTGGTGGTGTACCTGGACGACATACTCATCTACTCACGCGACATGAAGCAGCACGTCGAACACCTGCGACGCGTCTTCGAAATTCTTCGACGGGAACGATTCTACGTCAAACTGTCCAAGAGCGAATTCGCCCTGGAGAAGGTCCAATTTCTAGGACACATGGTGAGCGCTCAAGGAGTTCACGTCGACCCCAAGAAAATCGAAGCCGTACGTACGTGGAAGACACCCGAGAACGTGAAGGAGTTGCAGCAGTTCCTAGGCTTCGCTAATTACTACAACAGGTTCGTGCCACAATATGCGAAAATCGCAGCACCACTCACGAATCTGCTGAAGAAGAACACGCCCTACAAATGGGAACCAAAGCACCAGGAAGCCGTGGAGCAGCTGAAACAAGCACTAACATCCGCACCGGTGCTCATCTTGCCAGATCCCGAACGTGACTACGTCATTGAAGCAGATGCCAGTGATCAGGCCGTGGGTGCAGTCTTGATGCAAGACCAAGGGAATGGACTGCAACCCATTGCCTACCTCAGCAA